TGCCTTTTTTTTTTTTTTCTGCTAACATGTCAAATATGGTAAAATTCCCCCGTCCCCACGGAAACATTTCCCGTCTTTCACCCCCCACGCCAGTGGGGTATAACTCCATTTTATTCCCCTCCATTTGTCGAAGTTGTCGCCAAATTCGTTTCTCCTTCTGACTTACTCATAATATATTTTGCCCCTTTTCTAACACCGCTTCAAGTTATTGCGCTATTTTTTGTTTTTACGTCGGACAAATTTATGTGACTTTTTTTTTCTCCCCCATTTGTCTAAATTTTCCATTTCGTCCTGCAGATCGTAATCGACCCATTTTGAAGGAACCGTGTTGCTGTTCTTGTCACACTTCGCATACACAGTGTGTATATATATGTGTGCATCAAGCGACCTTTCCCATTTTCCCTCCCCCTGTGCATTCGCAACTTCCGGCTTTATAAACTACGACATTTGTTCAAAGTCTTATTAAATGAAATACATTTTTACAGGACACTCAACAAGCTTCTAACATGTTAAAAATGTGCCTCTGATTTGATACCTTAAAAAGGTTTAATCTTTCTCTCAGTGCGGGAAAAAAAAATATAACTACAAAACTGCTTCATCTGACTTGGCAAAGGAATGGCCCTGCGATGTGGAAATTTGCTTTTTGTACCATTAGCCCCACATCGTCATAAAATAAAACTTTAAAGGAATCATAATTTCCTCCGACATTTATGCCATTCGGTTTGTACAATTAAATACGCGAACCTATATGTGCATTTGCGGTTGCATCGCTTTGTACTCCTTACAATTTGTGAACAGAAAAAGCTTGATCTCGTTTCAGCAGAAGAGGGAAATAAAAAGATTAATTTTTCCGTTAGGGTTGTTTTTTTTTTCTTTCCATTTCGCTTTTTCTTCTATCATCTCGTAAGCATTTTTAATTTTTTCTTCTTCTATCCATCAAAGATGCCACAACATAGTCGATAATTTTACGAGGAAAAAAAAAAAATCTAGCAAAACAGTTGCACACATTTTTGCTAAAACGGTTAAATGGGTTCCTCAAAACATTACTCAATTTTTAACCACTTTCAAATAAAATTACACCTTATTATGAGGCCCCTTTTTAAAGGCAGCACGATTCTGAATCCCCACTTAAGCAGGCGCCCTATGACCACTAAACTTATCGAGGCGCCTTCCTAAGAGGAGGAAAAGAAAATTCCTCCACCTGTTCATATGAATGGCAGTATAATTGGAGTATTCCATTTCATTGCACAATTCGATTATCATGTTGGTATTTTCTCATTTTGGTATTTTCTCATCTTGGTATTTTCTCATTTTGGTATTTTCTCATTTTGGTATTTTCTCATTTTGGTATTTTCTCATTTTGGTATTTTCTCATTTTGGTATTTTCTCATTTTGGTATTTTC